CTGTTAAGTTGATTTGTTCTTGTTTTAAATTAAAATGAGACAAAAGTTATAGGTCTTAACCGTTTCTTTCCACATACCACAATAAAGGTGACAAGCCTTCAGAATGGGTGATAAAGACAATTTGATGATGGTGATAGTGATCGGTACTGTGAGGATAAGTAAAAAAATATGGCCACAAAATTATCGAAACCAACAAAAATGTCAAAATGTGAAGCCATTGTTTCTTGACATATCGTCCATCTAGGTGTGTACACTTCTGAAGGTACTGTGTCTAGCTCTCAGGCCCCCTCCAAGAAGAATGCAGCACTGTTTGACACCACATCAAAATGGCAGTTTGGACATTATCCCAGAAGGACTCAAATTGTCTTCCTTTTATATGTCCTTTGAGTTCTGGGAACAAAAGCAAGCCTCAAGGGGCAAGATCAGGGCTGTAGGATGTATGCAGTAAGGTTTCCTAACCAAATTCTCATGGGACAATCCTTTACCCTGGAAGAATGAGTAGATGTGTTTTTGTTGTTGTTGTTAAGTGCCATGGAGTCAATCATGACTCATAGCCACCTTATATAGGGTTTCCAAGGAGCGACTGGTGAATTTGAACAGACAACCTTGCAGTTCAAATAGAACGTGTGGTCCAGTGCATTAACCACAGCACCACACCACACCATTGTAATGATGGCAAACTTTCCTTGGCTCAACTTTTCTAGCCTTTTCCTCACCGATACAGTTTTTCATTTTCTTAAAACTTACTGTAATAAGCTCTGTGGTTGTCCTGTGCCCTTTGAGAAATGATGTCAGGATGGCCCCTTTGAAATTTCAAAAAACAGTCCCTATAACAACAACAACAACATAACCATCAGAGCTGACCTTTGTGCCTTGATTTGACTGGTCCAGAGAACACTGAAAATTCACTGGGCTTTCTTTTTGAAGGTGTCCTAAGACAAGCTTATTACTGAGAGAACATGTCTGCAGCTGTCCACTGATCACAGTTGTTGGTATTAGATGCCATTGAGTTGGCACCGACTCACAACAACCCTGTCTATGCACAACAGAATGAAACTCTGCCCAGTTGCGTGCCAACCTCACAATTGTTGCTAAGCCTGTGCCCTTTGCTACCCCCACTGTACTCTTGTATCTCACTGGGGATCTTCTTCTTTTTCTCCAACACTCCACTGTACAAAGCATGATGTACTCATCCAGGGACTGGTCCCTTCTGACAGTATGTTTGAAGTATGAGAGATAAGTCTGACAATCCTGGCTTTCAAGGAGCACTCTGGCTGTGCTTCTTCCAACACAGATTGGTTTGTTCCTTTGGCAATCCATGGAACTTTAAATATTCATCTCCTGTACCATAACTCAAATGCATCAATTCTTCTATTGTCTTTCTAATTCTTTGTGCAACTTGCATATGCATATGAGGTTACTGAAATCACCATGGCTTTAATCAGGTGCACTTTAATCCTCAATCTGATATCTTTGCTCTTCAACACTTTAATAAGACCTTGTGCAGCAGATTTGCCTAATGCAATACGTCTTTTGATTTCTTAACTGCTGCTTCCATGAGTGTTAATGATCTAACTGAGCAAAATGAAGTCTTTGACAACTTCAATCTTTTCTCCATTTATATGGATGTTGTTTATTGATACAGTGGTAAGGATTTTTGTTTTCTTTACATTGAGATGCAACCCATACCAAAGGCTGTGCTCTTTGATCTTCATCAGTAAGTATTTTAAGTCTTCTTTGCTTTCAGCAAGCAAGGTTGTATCATCTGTATAGCACAGGTGGTTAATAAGTCTTCTTCCAATCCTGATGCCATGTTTTTCTTCATAGAACCCAGTTTCTCAGATTATATGCTCAGCATACAGATTGAATAAGTATGGTGAAAGAATAAAACCCTGGCATACACCTTTCCTAATTTTAAACCATTCGGTGTTCCCTTGTTCTGTTTAAGCAGCTGCCTCTTGGTCTGTGTGTAGGTTCCTCAGGAGCACAATTGAGTGTTCCATAATACTCATTCTCCACAATGTTAGATCATATGCTACCTCTTTGAAATGGTTTAATATTGACCATTTCTTTTTGTTACAGCAACTCTTTGTGTTCCTCCCATCTTCCTTTGATGCTTCCTGCATCCTTCAATATTTTGCCCATAGAATCCTTCAATATAGCAAGTTGTGGTTTGAGTTTTTTCTTCCGTTCCCTCATCTTGACAAATGCTAGTATGTTCTTCCGTTTTGGCTTTCTAACTCCAGGTTTTGTATATTTTGTTATAATATTTGACTTTGTCTTATCAAGCTGCCCATTGGAACTTTCTGTGCAGCTCCTTTGCCTCCTCATTTCTTCCATTTACTTTAGCATCTCTACAGTGGAGAGTAAGGTTCAGAGTCCCTTCTTACATCCATTTTGGTCTTTTCCTTCTTTCTTGTTTTCTTAATGACCTTTTGCTTTCTTTTTGTATGATGTTCTTGATGTCATCCCACAACTCTTCTGGTCGTCAGTCTTTAGTGTCTAATGCATCAAATCTGTTTTTGAGATGATCTCTCAATTCAGGTGGAATATATTTAAGGTCCTATTTTGGCTTTTGTGAACCTGTTTTAATTTTCATTAGTGTTTGCCTGAACTTGCAAATGAGCAATAGATGATCTGTTCCACAGTCTGCCCTTGGCCTTGTTTTGGGTGGTGATATGGAACTTTTCCACCATCTTTTTCCACATATGTAATAAATTTAATTTCTGTTTATTCCATCTGGTGAGGTCCACGTGTATAGTCTTTTATGTTGTTTAAAAAAGGAGTTTGCAATGAAGACATCATGGTCTTGTAAAATTCGATCATACTGTCTCTAGCATCATTTCTATCATTAAGGTCGTATTTTCCAAATACTAATCCTTTCTCTTAGTTTTCAATCTTTGCTTTCCAGTCACCAGTAATTATGAATGCATCTTGATTGCATATTTGATCAATTTCAGACGGAAGAAGTTGGTAGAGTTCTTCAGTTTCATCATCACTGGCTTTAGTTGTGTTAATTTAGTGCTGTTGACTGGTCTTCCTTGTAGAAAAATGGATATTATCCAATTATCAACAGCATTGTACTTCAAGACAGATCTTGATATGTATGTTCTTGTTGATGAATGCGATGACATTCCTCTTAAATTTGTCATTCCTGGCACACTAAACCATGTAGTTGTCAGAATCAAAATAGTCAATACCAGCTCATTTCTGACACTGATGCTGACAGTATTCCACTACTCTTCATTAGGTTTTCAGTGACTAAATATTTGGTAGTACTCCGTCTCTCCTTCTTCCTAGTCCGTCTTTGTCTGGGAACTCAGCTGAGACCTATCCATTGTGTGTGATCCTGCTGGTATTTAAAATACCAGTGGCATAGCTTCCAGAATCATAGCAACGTGCAAACCACCACAGTATGACAAAGTGATAAACAAGTGGTGGATAGATCACAGAGACGTGGGTAAGCACATTGTTTTGGAGTAAGTCCTGTATTATGAACCAGAATCCTAGCAACAATATTTTTTTTTATTTACTCTCTTGTGATTATGGGTTTACCATGGTTGACTGTTGTTATTGTGTGCCCTCAATTAGCAATGGGACAGGACATAGAAGAGCTGCCCCCTAGAGTTTTAAGGCTGAGCTTTTTTCTAGTGGAGCAGGTCATTAGTTCTTTTCTTCTGCAGTGTTGGGCAGGTTTTAACCACCAACCATTTGTTTAGCAGATGAGTACTTAATCATTGTGCCACCAGGCTTCTTCCTCAGCACTATAAATATATTAATTAGTAATTTTCAGATACTGGATACTACCATTATATCTTCATTTCATAGATGAGAAAACCAGCCAATAAGAGGCTAAGCAACTTGTCCAAGGTCACTCAGAAAGTAAACCCAAAGTTGAGATTCAGATACTATGTAGTGGTATAGTCCAGAGTTTAGCTCCTGGATTCAAAGGTTTAGTAAATGGAAAAGCAGGGAGTAACATCATTAGCATTTGGTGAGGAAGGAGATAGTTATACTGGTCTTGCAGCAAGTGTAATAAAGCTTTTTAAAAATCATAAATGAAGAAATTTAAGAAAATTATATATAGAGAAATTTAAATCATTGGTATGAACTACTATAAGAAACTTCCCTATCAACAAGTGGGAAGACACATATGGCAGATCAAAAACTAATACCCCAAACTCTTACAAACAAGTAAGAAAGGAATGGTTAATGTAATCAAAACATCTTTAAGAAGTATGAGTAGGCAAGCCAAAGAAAAAGAAATCTACTGGGACCTAGTGTATAGAAGATACATAGAGTAGTTTTTAAAAGTTGGTCTAGATAAATTTAGATGTAGATGGAATGCTGACTGATAAGGAGACACGGAGCAGATACATTAAACTGGTAACAGAGTTGGAGGACTGATTAGAAGTAGCATACAGACAGCAGCTGGTAGATGCTATAGAGCTCTTGCATCCATTAGGCAAAGCTAGTGTGAAACCACACCAACCAAACTCCCAAGAGACAATTCAGCCCTACAAAACCATGGCTTGAGTGCCTTTCTTCTAAATTCTCTCACAGAAAATGTATAACTTGTGTAATTCTTAATGCTTAGGTGAGAAATTGACTCGTCGCATACAGTGGATGTCTTAGTGCATCGTGGAATTTCGGTTGAGAAGGTCTACTTAGAATTGGAAGCTAAGGGGTGTATTCAAGAGACTTAGCAGTAGAAAACCAGAAACAATTTTGTTTTTGGTAATTTTACATAGAGGATACAGGGAAAAGATCTAGAGACCAAGGTAGGAGGTATAGGAGTCAAATGTGGTCAGTGTTCAGTAGATTAATTTTCAAGGATGCAATGTAAAGGTCCACATGCAAGTATTCAATTCTGTGATGTGTAATAACGTTAGATATTAAGATCTTGTTACTTTGCTGAGCAAAACAAAAAATGATACAGGAGGAAAATAACTTGTCTGTACCGTGCCATATATAATCTTACTCTTGCATTTCATTTCCAGGGAGCCGTTTATTATTTTATCAGGTGGTTTATCATATGACACTGTGGGAAGAAGACCGTGTTTAACAGTCATGCACGGGAAAACTACTGCTGTGCTGGAGATGGACTACTCAATCGTTGATTTCCTGACACTCTGTGAAACACCATACTCAAATGGTAAAGCTCTGCATCCTTTAAAGCCCACTCTCTGTCAATACCCACCTAGCATTATGAACAAAGACCTTCATGTTATCCAAGTAGTGTCCCTATATCCCTGTGCTGGTGTCGTTGTGTGACGAGATGCTGCCTTCCTAACCTTGTACATTTCATTTTAAGAAGTGAACTTTGCTTAGTAGACTTTATCTCTGTAATATTTCATGTTCATACTCAGGATATATAATGCTATTCTTTTAAAGAAACTTTTTAATAATATATCATGTTCATACTCAGGATAAACAATGCTATTCTTTTTAAAGAAACTTTTTAAAAATTCTATAAAATATTAGTATATATGATTTCAAAAATTAATTTTTTTCTTAGTACAATTCCCGTTCATTTGGTCTAAAGACGCAGTGTACCTTATAGTTGGCAAAAACAGCCACATAAAAATTATCCTATACAGATATTACAACTTTATAATATAGTAGTAGAACTGTGTTGGATTTCTATGAAAGCTAATGATAATCATTCTTAAGGGTGTTTAGATTTAAATTTTGATTTTAATTGACTACATTTCATCTTGGAATAATACCCTAGAAGTTATTGTGAGCCTTTGTGCTGTGGGTTAATGCGCCAGACTGCAAAGCCGTTTGAACTGCAAGGTCAGCGGTTCAAGCTCACCAGCTGCTCCTCGGAGACCCTATACAGGGTCGCTATTGGTTGGAACTGACTCGATGACAGTTAACTACAACAACAACAACTTTAATTTTGAATGGAGCATTGAATAGATTTAACTCATGTCAAACAGACAAGTTTTCAATTATATGAAGTGATCATAGAATTAGAATGCTAAATGTTATATAATGAAATAAAATACACACCAAGAAAGATATATATATATATATATATATATATGATTGAATTTGCTCATCTCTTGCGTATTTGAAACCATTATTTGTGCTTTGTTTTCCAATTCCAGATTTTCAAGAACCATATGCTGTGGTGGTTCTTCTTGAAAAGGATTTGGTACTTATAGACCTTGCACAAAATGGGTAAGAAATAAAATTTGGTGAGCAATTTTATTAATATATAGTAATAAAAGGGAAAGCAAGAAAAAACGAGATTAGCTGTTTAATGCCTTTGAAAACTCTCCATTTATGTCTTTAACCCTTGACCACTTTTAGTGCTAGAATCACATTTCAAATTAGCAGCCAAATTTTCTAATTGTGTGAAAAGTACAAAATCCCTATTTTTAAGTCAAAATTTGTTGTATTTCTAAAATTTCATATGATTTAACCTGGTCCTTGGAGATCCTGGGGCATACAAAAATCACCGTGTTCCCATCACAGTTTACTCCACATAAGGTCTCCCTGCTCTTTTCTCTGTGGAGGTCTGACAGGCAGCACAGTGCACTACGAGCTGGCCTGCTAATAACGGGATCAGCAGTTCGAAGGTGCCAGTCCCTTCGAAGGAGAAAAGATAAACACTTTCTGCTTCCATAGCATTTTTGCAGCTTCAGAAACCCTCTGCAGAGTCTTGATGAGCCAACAACAATATTACCTGTAATAATTCCAACTTTGGCTCATCTATTAAATAACAATACCATTGTGGCATAAAGAAATTTGAAACTGTTATTTCTGCTCTATTTTTAGCATAATTTTCTTATATGCTTTTTCCTTTAAGTAAGGTTTTTCAAACAGTGAGACTTTTCATATTTAGTTTTTTCGAGCTGACCTTCGAAACTTTCTATGCTGAAGACATATTTAAATCAAAAGACCACACTATTCCAGTAACCTGTGACAACAAGTCTTCATTTTATTTAGCAAGAGTATCAATTAAATGCATAATAATAGAAGTGTTTTAGCTAATGATTCATGAAATATAATCATTTCACTCATGAGAAGGATATTGCCATTTTACTAATGCAAATTTTCATTTGTAATTTGTCTTCTGTGTTTTCATATGTATGTGGAAGTTGACTTTATTGTACCATCTGTAAAGGAATTTTAGGAAATTTCTCTCTTTTATTTATTTTTAAAATCATTGTCAGTAGCTTAAAATGTCTTAAGTTTTCCCAATTAGCCAGTTAGGAGTTTTAATCTGTTTCTGGTTTTCCAGATACTTTAAAGTTACTACTCTTGTTTTAAGGACTTTAAAGCCAGAAAACAAATACCTGGAAAGCATTCAAAATGGGAATATACTTTAGATTACTTAAAATAAAAAAGTATCAGATTAAATTTTGGACTAGATATTATATTTATTGAAGGAAAAGGGAAGATTGAAAATTTGTATTCCCTCTGTCTCTGTAAGGGCAAAGTATTTGTTTACTGAGAGCATTACAGCTGTTTGAATTCTGCTTCTATAACTTTCTAGTTGGCATGCCTTTGTCACGTTACTCCCTTAAACCTTTGTTCTTCTGTAAGAAATGATCCGTGTCATAAGTTTGCTAAAAAAAAATAAAATAAAAAAGGTAAATGAGATAATTATATGTGAAACACTTAAGTTTCCTGTTTGGTACATGGTGCATAGTAGTAACTGAAGCCTTTTTATCTACCATTCTAATTCAGCATCTTTCATTATAAAAATATCTCATTTGTTTACATATTGCATGAATTAAACCACTTTGATCTCAGTGTTAGAATTTTATGATTTCTAATTCTATAGACAAAAAGCATATTTTCCTAAAAGTTAAAAATGTAAATTCAGATAAGCTGTCATGCTGACCTTCAAAATATGTTAATTTTACTTAACTAAGTTTAGATAAATTTTTTTTTCCACCCCAAATGTTGCAATAAATTTTAAAAATTGATTGTTGTTGTACTCAGGGGTTAAAATCCATTAAATTCATAAGTAATTTCCTTTTGCTTTCTCTTATTGTTAAAAGCTATCCAATATTTGAGAACCCTTACCCTTTGAGTATACACGAATCCCCTGTGACATGTTGTGAATATTTTGCTGACTGTCCTGTCGACCTTATTCCTGCACTTTATTCCGTTGGAGCTAGACAGAAACGGCAAGGTTACAGCAAAAAGGTATTGAATATACATTCCAGTATTTAATGGTCTGTTTTCAGTGTTTTATGTTTACCATTGGTGATAACTTTTCTAGACAAAGTATAGAGAACATTGTTTTCAAGGCAAGACATGTTCACTGTTTGTATACACATATACATGTATCCTATTTTGATGGAAACAGTACCTGTTTTTAATATATAATACATATATACACACATGAGAGAGCGCTTCATAAAAACCATGAGAAAATTCCATTATATTTTAATTCCACTTTCCACAAACAGAATGTTTATTCATATGAAGACTCCCGTGTGTATGCATTGCAGTGGGTTAATTATTGGGCTGATAAACAGGACTGAGAACTACAAGGTCCGGGTTTAAACCCACCAGCCACTATGAAGGAGAAGATAAGATTTGTCTGCTACTGTAAAAACGTACAGCCATGAAAACCCCACAAAGCAGTTTTACTTTTTCTTATAGGGTCACTGTGAGTTGAAATCAATTTGATGACAGTGGGCTGCATATGCCAGGGGGCTTAAAAAGTTCACGGAAAAAATCCATTATAATTGAATTCCATTTTTCCTTGAACTTTTTGAAAGCTTTTTTTTTTTGTGTGTGTGTGTGTAGGCATATGCATATCTATAAAGACATACAGGATGCTTGGATATTGTATTTTACAATGTTCTTATATTTATTTATTTTAGGAATGGCCTATCAATGGAGGTAATTGGGGATTAGGTGCTCAAAGTTACCCAGAAATAATTATCACTGGGTAAGTAAAAGTCTGTTTTCACCTAATAAATCAATAGCAGCTAATTATATTTGTCTAACGAATCGGGCTGTGAAACTTACGGTCAGCAGTTTGAAACTACCAGCTGTTCCGCAGAAGAAAGATGAGGTGTTCTGCTCCCATAAAGATTTATAGCCCCGGAAACCCTATGCAGGGTCGCTATGAGTTGGAACCGACTTCACGACACATAACAACAACAATAACAAGACTCCATGAACATTAATCGGGCAGTAGAGCTTTGCTTTATAATGTTATTGTTATTAAGTGCTGTGGAGTTGGTTCCGACTTACAGTGACCCTGTAGATGGTTGCTGAGGTATTCAGTCTTCATGGGAGCAGAAAGCCTCATCTTTCCACCTAGATGTGACTGGCAGGCTCAAACCACGGACTTTATGGTTCTCAGCTCAGTGCTTCTCGTTTGGAGCCACTACATGCTCAATTAATCATATAGTAGGAAATAAATTATTGTCAGCAGCCAGCCAGTTTGCTGTGGTTTTTACCTTTTTTCTTCATTTTCATGATTTTTATTCTTTTTAGTAACAGACTGGTGAAGAAAAACTTACAATGGTTATTTTCTGTACTTCATTACAGTCTTAACTTATGTTACTTTTGATAGGCATGCCGATGGGTCACTTAAGTTCTGGGATGCTTCTGCAAGTAAGTATTTTGAATAATTATTGTTACATGTTACACAATCATTGCTTTTATAACTCCTGTTTTATAACTGTATAGCCAGTGCTGAATTTGAAATTTTTGAGGCTATAAATTGAATTCCTGATAATGAAGTATATGAGTTTGTGAATAAATTCATATGACTAAGATAAGATAGATTAAAAACATCATATCATTAAGGATATTAGAAAATCAAGAATCAAATCCTTTTTTCATATTTTTGATTCCTAGCACATAGATAAGAGAAGTGGGAATATGTTTCAAATCAACAGAAATTTTAAATGCTTGATTGTTAACTGATGTCGTACAAGTTTATAATTTGAAATACAATTTGTGGTTACATAGTAGCAATAAAAGAAAGAAAGAATGGTTTTAATGGCTGATGTTTGTAAAACGTATATGGCAAACATTCAGTGAAAATCTAGTTAACTCATGATATGTTTTATTGAATCATGTAACAAGGTGTAAGCATAATATATAATGCTGCCTATTCCAAAGGAAATATTTAGAAAAAATTTTAGGAAGCAAAATGTATTTGTTTTTAAATTTTTCATTGTGTTATCTACATTTGTTTTTTTAAATTATTTTGCTACTTTTTGTAGTTTATCTAAATTAATCAATATGGTAGACTTTTTGTTGTTTTTGAGAGTACAGGAATGAATACACTTTTCATTTTATTAGTGTACAAGTGTAATAAATGGAGATTAAGACTGAAAATAAGATTTGAGCACTTTTCCTTACATAGTATGATTAATTAAATATTATTCTGCTTTTTGTATTATAATATCTAACATACATTATCTTTGTTCTAGTAACTCTACAAGTATTATATAAACTAAAGACATCTAAAGTATTTGAAAAATCAAGAAATAAAGATGATAGGCCAAATACAGACATTGTAGATGAAGATCCATATGCCATTCAGATCATCTCCTGGTGTCCAGAAAGTAGAATGCTGTGCATAGCTGGGGTTTCAGCTCATGTCATTATTTATAGATTCAGCAAACAGGAAGTCATTACAGAAGTCATTCCGGTAACAGTTTCTTAATTATTATCAGTTTCAGATATCTGACATTTTTAAATATGTGGATTATTTAGAAGACTCTTTGTAATCGGTTTTGTCTAAACACCCCATTGTTTACTTTGGCATGACTACTGTATTTTTCTTTGCTCGTTGTTTCACTGACGTTTTAAGTCCTTAAGTTGTGACGTGTTTATTTTAGGAAAAGCTAGTATGAGTATGTGCAGTACTCCTTAACAGACAGACCGCAAGTGGCTGGCTCTACTGAACATTTAGCTTCTCGTGCTTTGTTGTTAAGTGCCATTGGGTCAGTTCCGACTCATAGTGACCTGTATACATTTCATGGCTTAGGAGGTTACAATTTCTAATTCATTTATATTTATCACTAAGCTTTTAAAGCAGGGTGGGGAATGTCCCACAAAATCATATGGTCTGGCCCTGCCAAGGCAATCCTAGGCAAGACTCAAAATTAATAAATCTAGGAGCATATCACAGGTTGTTAATGAGTCTTCCTCCAATCCTGATGCCACGTTTTTCTTCATAGAACCCAGCTTCTCGTATTATTTGCTCAGCATACAGGTTGAATAAGTATGGTGAAAGAATACAACCCTGTCTCACACCTTTCCCAATTTTAAAACATTCAGTGTTCCCACGTTCTGTTCGAGCAACTGCTTCTTGGTCTAGGTACAGATTTCTTAGAAGTACAATTAAGTGTTCGGACATTGTTTCGTTCTGCTGTGCATGGGGTCGCTATGAGTCGGTTCTGACTCTATGGCACCTGACAACAACAACAACAAGGAGCTTTTTTCAACATAAATGTATATTAAGCAGTATTATAAATATCAAATAAAAGGCCCTTGGCAGAGAAAAGGTTCCCTAGGCCTGTTCTAGAGGAAAGCTTTCTCTTCTGTGGGCTTGACGGGAAGATCCTTGTTTCTCTTCAGCTTCTGTTCTTCTCTTTCTTGGTAATCTTCATGTGACCAGATGTCCCCATCCATGCTTCCTTGCTTCTTTGCCTAATCTGCTAGCTTGTATCTCAAACATAATTGATTTTAAGACATACCATACACTGAAATGGTCTAATTAACATAACAAAAATTATTTCCAACAGCTATAGGAGTTAGTATTCCAATTATATTTTGAGAGGATACAATTCATTCTTTAACAACCAGAATCTAGTATATTAGCCAGAGTGCCATGCATTTAAAAATAATAAAGCCATGCTTTCTGAAATCATTACACACAGTTTTAAAAAGACAAATAGCAACTTTTTTTCCTTGCTAAATCCTTACCTTTAAAAATCTTACTAAATGTTTACATGTAAAAATGTTCTTTCACCCAGATTTATTTTTACGTGTGTATAAACTGTCATAAAATGAACAATAACTATAAAGAATAGGTAAACTGTTTTCCTTTTACAACAGATGCTGGAGGTTCGATTGTTATACGAGATCAATGATGTGGACTCTCCGGAGTGTGAACAGCCACCACCTTTGGCAACCCCAGTGAGCAGTTCCAGTCCACAGCCCATTCCGCCTCAGTCTCATCCGTCTACTAGTAGCAGTTCATCTGACGGGCTTCGTGACAATGTCCCCTGTTTAAAGTAAGTTCTAAAAACTTGGAGACATATTTTAATACTCTCTTTTCCTTTGTTGTTGTTAAGTGCCATTGCGTTGGTTCTGACTCGTAGTGAAGTGAGCCCTGTATAGGGTTTCTGAAGCTTTACATCTTTACAGGAACAATTTGTTGTTGTTGTTTTTAGGTATTGTCCAGTCACTTCTGATTCCTAGCAACCCTATGCACAACAGAAGAAAACTGGCAGGACCTGTGCCATCCTCACAATTGTTAACATTTGATCCCATTGCTCCTGCCATTGTGCCAGTCCGTCTTCCTCTTTTTCACTGGCCCTCCACTCTACCGAGCATGACACACCTCTCCAGGGGCTGGTCCCTCCTGAAGTATGAGAGTCAAAGTCTGTCCATCTTGGCTTCTAAGGAGCACTCTGGCTGTACTTCTTCCAAGACACATCTGTTTGTTCTTCTGGCAGTCCATAGTGCTTTTAAAGAGATTTTGTGCAGCAGGTTTTCCTAATGCAATACATCCTTTGATTTCTTGACTGCTGAGTCCATGAGTGTTGGTAGTGCATCCAAGCAAAATGAAGCTTTTGACAACTCATATCTTTTCTCCATTTAACGAGATGTTATTTACTTGCCCAGTGGTGAGGATTTCTGTTTTCTTTACATTTGAGGTTCACCCCATACTGAAGGTTGTTACCTGATCATCATAAGTAAATGTTCTATAGCATTATGAGAAAGTTGGAAATATTGTGAGCATGACCAAAATGTGTCAGATTCACAAAGTGAGCACATACCTATAGACTTGCTCAATTCAGTGTTGCCACAAACCCTCAGTTTATAAAGAATGCAGTCTCTGTGAACTACAGTGAAATGAGGTATGCCTATACATGCAGACTGTGTGATAACTCTAGCGTCTTTTCAACTTCGATCATTATGTTAAGATAAAGCTGAAGTCTGGATCATTCTCTAATATTATTATACTAAGTATTTTACTACTTTTTTTCTTCACATTTTTATTTCGAATTGAGTGTTAGTTTACATGGGAGAACATCAGCTTTACATTCATCCTATTCGTATTTCATTTAATTGCCATAATTACAGTCCCCTCCAGGCACCTCCCCACCCCCCAGTCCAGAGTCCCCAGCCACTCCATCTCTCCACATCATTGTCTCTGCCTCCATCTCTGGTGTCACTGCTTCTCTGGATAGGGTCCTGCACTCGCTCTTCTCCCTTGATGGTTCCAGGATCCTCTGCTCCTGGACTGCAAGATCAACCACTCCCCTCCTTTTGTCTACCTTTACATTTGCAAAACTCGCTGTCAATCCTGATAACAATTATTCACTATTGTTAGCCCCATTTCCTTTCACGGGCTCTGTCCAGACAGGTTGGAAACCACTCAGTGAAGATTCTACTTTTCCCCACACCCTCTTAAACTAGGCTTCCTCTAGTGAAGATTCTACTTTTCCCCACACCCTCTTAAACTAGGCTTCCTCTTGAAAGCTCTGTAAGCCAGTCACTTTGTGCCTTTGTAGCCCCCCATTTTGGGTAGCAATTTTTAAGTTTCCCGTCCCTGTTGACCCTGTGTACTGAGGGGGTGGGAATGATCCTCGCTGTAAAGATTCATTCCCTCTTTTGAGCTACTACATCCATAAGTAGAGACTGCTTTTTAAAAATGGCTGTTTGATTTACTCCTATACCTGTAAAATGTTATGTTTTTATTTATGTATTTCATGTTACCTGACCCCTTGAAAAATGCTAGTCTAAACAGACTTTGAGATCTCCAAACAGTAATTTTTACAAATTCTTGATATATATTCATAAAAATTCATTTTCTTGTCTTTAAAAACTAAAGCAGTTAGCTTATATGCATGAAAGATATTAAAATGTAACAATCAGCTACCATTTTATATTTTAAAAATCTAGAATATCTTCTATCATTTATTAATCAAGTTTTACCAGTTGGGAATTTTGTAGCAGATTTGACTGGCTTCTTACTTTTATTAAGAACTTTTCTTGTTTCTTCTAATTAAAATATGAATTCCATGAGTTCTGCATGTCCTGATCACTTAAGTCTTAGGCATATCATTCTAAAATTCTCCTTGAAATTCATGTTCCAGTTCTTGAGAATGCACCATCTTTGTGTGCGTGTTTAATATGTCAGTAGGAGCTTGGACACTTCTTTGAGCCCAACCTTCTGCAAAGAGAAAATAGCACATTGTGGCTGTCAGCCTGTGCTAATATCAGGCCTCCCTCCAGGGAAAAATCAAGTTCCTCCTGAGTCTTTATTTTTGTCTCCAGAGATGGGCAGTTAGAATGGATTCATACCCAGCATTGTGTCTAGACATAAGTATTGTATATAAGTAGCTTTATGCCTTTGGGAGTCCCATACTCCTTAAGAGCGCTCCCTCACTCTGTTTTTACCATGCCTGATCAAGTTCAACTGATGCAATTTTAGCATGAACCCATTCAATATAAGCCATGTTTGGGCATACATAGAACTGTCTGCTGAGTAGTTCCATTTGAAGACCCAACCATCATCTCAGATTTTCCATGTAATATCCCTAAAACTAGCTCATCATCCCAACATGTTTATCTTCTTTGGAACTCAGCCTTCATTCTGTCTTACCTACTCCCTACCCCCATCCCCAGTTAATCAACCTCCAGCTGATTCACTCAGGCATTCCTGCATTTCTTCAGTAGCTGTTTGCTGAGTGTCTTCTCTGTGTGGGGCACTAACAATACTTGCAGGGTTTCTGTCTTCATGGAGCTTACAGCTTTGTGGAGTCTGACTTCATTTGTTCCAAATCTACCTTTTTGTTTCACAGGAATTCCTGATCACGCTCCCTATCCACTTTATCTTGCATTTTGTTGTTGTTGTTAAATACTGAGGAGTTCTAACTCATAGTGACCCTGCACAGGGTTTCCGAGGCTGTAAATCTTTACGGGAGCAGAACGCCTCATCTTTCTCCCAGTGGAATCACTTGTAGTTTCGAACTGCTGACCTTGAGGTTGGCAGCCCAATTCGTAACCACTACGCTACCAGAGCTCCTTGCAATACCTCCACTAAATTAATCTTCTAAAAATATTTTTTTAATCAACCTTCATTGATTTAATTCTTTAATGAAAATATTTTACTTTTGTGTAATTTTCAAAGTACTCACCAGGTCCTCATAATGTGATTAGGCAGGACTCACTTGTTTAAGTGAGAACACTGCTAAGTGGCAGAGCCAGCGCTCTGATTGGAGCTTTCACAGAGCTCTGAGTTGTTTTGTTTTGTTTTTCCCCAGCATCAAACCTTTGCAGCCAGGCTGGGAAACCCTCTAAAGTCTATTCCTGGCCTAACTTGCTATACTGATTGCTTATTCTACTACATACAACTTCCTCTGTGTCCAAACCTATACATTTAGCATCCTTGAATCTGAATTTCCTCCTCCTTTATTTTCTTAAATCATAGTTTTAAATTTTAAATCTACTTTTCTAATGCAGATTTTCTAACTGACATTTTCTAAATGGATTTTTGTCCCCTCCTAATTCCTAGACTTCTGCTCGTCTTCATCCTTCTCCCACCCCACCCTGTTCTTCTCATGCTAACCCCTGCCCCTGGCTCTGCTGCCCACTCCTGTTCAACTGTGGAACTTACAGGATTTCTTATGTTTGTTGCTTATGCATACATGTTTAGTGTCTCCAACTAGAGAAAGGCTCTGAAGGACAGGATTCTGATTTGTACTTTCCTTAGGTCTAGTGCAGTTTCCTATAGAAAGTTATTTTGTATGGATATATGTGAGTAACTTTATAGTGCCACAGGCTAATACTGTAACTGAAGATGGCTGAGAAGGTAACAACATGTTTCCCTCTGTTTCAGAGTTAAAACCTCACCACTTAAACAGTCTCCAGGTTATCAGACAGAACTAGTTATTCAGCTGGTGTGGGTGGGTGGAGAACCACCACAACAAATAACCAGCCTGGCAGTTAACTCTGCCTACGGATTGTAAGTATAAGTTACGTTTTTTTTCCTTGAGCTCCTCGCAAGATTTCTTACACCATTATGTTTAAAAATATATAAATCATATGATCATTGTTATGCCACTACCTAAAATGTTGTGTAATTTTAATTTCAGACCAAACTCAATGTTAATTTGGAACGTAATTCCAAATACTTTACTCTGGGTATGAATGTATTGGTCCCTGGTGTAAAGTTAAGGGACTCATGGACCAGTGAGTTATTTGAGGTAAAGTCTTAAGGTGCAGCTCCCTTGGACATCCTATTCTTATTACTTTTTAGTATAATAGAAATCCAACCACATAAACTCAGACAGCTGTTCTAAGGTGATTCTGTAAATGTTGAACCATGTCTGTTTACGCCGATTGTTCTACTTCTATCGTGTACATTGTCACTTTGATGTGAAGGAAGAGAAGCTTCATTTTAGCCTTTAGTGTGGAGTTGGTGCCAACTCATAAGGACCCCCTGTGTGTCAGCGTAGAACTGCACTGCAGAGGCTTTTCAGAGGTAGATCACCAGACCTTTCTTCATGTGGGCCTGTGGACAGATTCAAATCATTAGCCAAGAGCTTAATGAACTATTTGCATCAGCCATAAACTCCTCTTAAAAGACTGTTGTTGTTGCTTTTCTGCTGTGCCTTCACATCAGTTCCAACTCCTAAGGGCCCCACAGGACAGAGTAGAGCTGACCTCCTAGGGTTTCCAAGGCTGAAATCTTTATGGGAGCAGATCACCAGATCTTTCTACCACGAAGCTGTCGATGGATTCAAACCACCAGCCTTTTTGATTAGCTGTATTTAACTAGTGTGCTACTAGGGGTCCGTCCATTTAAAAGAATACAGCCAAACTCCAAACCTACTGCTGTAATTGATGCTAACTCAGAGTGACCCTGTGTAGAGTTTCCTAGGCCATAAGACTGGAAGGGAGTGGAAAGCCTGCTCTTTCTCCTGCGTATTTAAACTACTGACTTTGTAGTTAGCAGCCAAACCCATAGCCCACGACCCCACCAGGGTGCCTTCTGAGAAGAACTGTGGATGCTGTTGAGTGCTGTTGAGTTGGTTCTGACTCAGTGGTTTCAGAAGAGAGACTAGAGAGGATTAAAGTGCTGACCTTGTGGTAGGCAGTTCAGTGCTTATCCTACAGCACAGTACCACAGTACTCAGCAGTCCTTTTTTCCTAGATGCTTGGTGTGTAGTTCCTGATTTATAACTGAGAAATTAATTGAATACCTCAAAGGAACACCTTGAAGACTTATACCTTCTAATTATTATTCCTGACACTGAGGATTACCAAAACTTAACTCTCTGTGTAGACTTCTAAGCCTCTAGTAGAAGGGACTGCCTTGCCCTAAGAAGCTGAAAATATACTCAGAGCAGAAAAGCACATGTCCCGTTTCCTACTGTGGGAGATTTATGTCTCCCATCATGTGTAAACCCTGATGCAAAATAGTTCTTTTTATTGATGATACTGATTGTAGTCATTAATGTTTCCAGAAGATCTATTCTGTTTCATGTGAAGATGTATGTAACTTGTATTTCCTTGCCCGTGGTTTACATGTGTTTTAAAGATGTATCTCCTGAAATATCCATTATGCCTCTTCCTTTAGCCTTAAAGACTACAGTACATTTTCTTACAACTAAATTTTTTTGCTAGAACATTTGCTCTTTTCCTGTACCCAGGGTAGTTTTTGGCAATTGTAATGGCATTGCAATGGTTGACTATCTCCAGAAAGCAGTACTCCTCAACCTGGGCACTATTGAATTATATGGCTCCAATGATCCTTACCGGAGAGAACCTCGATCCCCACGTAAATCTCGACAACCTTCAGGAGGTAAGAGAGGAAAATACCAGAGGGTTAGGATTTCTGTAAATGTTGAGTTACTTCTGTGTCTAAAGGTGTTTCTGTTAGATAAATTGCTTGTCTGGTTAAGTTTATGTATATAAACTATCAGAAACTAGTAAAAGGTGTGAGCCATATTTTGTTTTATGTTGTTATTGGACTTTCATAAAATACAAGATTTTATTTAAATCTTTGGGAAAAAGCACAGTGTCAGAGTTCTTAAACTAAATTATAATGACTGAAAAATGTGTCTAGTTCTTACAGAATAAAAGGTAAGTTTCAAAGTTTTTGCCTCTTTTATTGATTGGTCTCTGAAGTCCAACAGTTCATTGTTTCAGCCTTTTAATTCAAAGCAATCATTCCCATGTGAAAAAAATATAGCTGTAAACATGAAAATGCTGCATTTTCAGATCCTGATTCTTTGCAAACCCAGATTCATTAAGAATTTTATCATAGTGTTCTTACCCTTGTGTTTTATAGGTGATTGGTCTTAATATGAAATGTTTTGTTTGAGCAATAGCACCTCATGGAACACATATGTAGTGAACTGTCTATGCCAGTATTTTCCACCTTGCCTTTTACCTCACAGTGCACACAGTGGCATTTGATGTGTGGTACACAGCAGCAAACTAGTGAGGCTTCCAGCAAAAACTGGCCTCTAGGCTCCAGTCTCTCCACTTGCCTGCCCAACTGGGTCATGGGAGCTCTATCTTCGACACACTGAATTTGTCTGCAGAACATTACTGTGCAGTGGTACTCTTTGGGAAGTTCTCTGATCTAGACTTCCAAATTTAATCTCTCTAAAATTCTCCTTGAGTTTCAGGTTTTAATTCCCTCAGCAAGTTATTTACTATTACTACCAGTATTGCAATCCATGAGAGAAGGGAGAAAAATATGGGAGGGTCTAGATCTTACTATCATTTTAATTTCGTAGGTGGATTTTTCTCTTCAAAATGTTTTTCCTTTCCATTTTTGTTTGTTTGTAATCATTTTGCATGTGATATCTTCAGCATAAATTTGCATCTCATCTCTTCCATTCTAATATTTTGGGTCTTATCTCTCCCATTCTAGTATGTTTGTTTCCCTCACCACCTTTTGTTGCTTCACTAAGGTCAGCTGACTCTGACTTCTTGCATGTACACCCTTTTGAGCTCACATTCTGAGTTGGTGAATGAACGCCACTCTTGGTAAATCAGTCATGTATGTCATGGCAGTAAGATCTTGGCATGTTTACCTTGTGTCTGTCAAACCATTGTTTTCTTCTCACTTGTCTTTAAAATAAATTTCCAAGTGTTCTATATCTAAAATACTTGTTACTTAGAGTCATCTCATAATTATACATATGAAAATAGTTATTGTAATGACTGTGCTCCAAGCCAATTTCTTTATAACATAAAGAAGCTATTTGAAGTATTTGAAGTTCGAAAATTTAAACATCTATTATGATAAGAGGAGAATTTTTGACAAACTCGACCTACAAATTTACTAATTTGAAGATTAATTTTTTTTTTCTTTTTCAACTCATAGTTGTTGTGTGCTTTGTGAAGTTGGTTCTGACTTACAGTGACCCTGTACAGGGTTTCCGGGGCTATAAATCTTTACGGGAGAAGAAAGCCTCATCTTTCTCCCACAGAACAGCTGGTAGTTTCAAACTGCTGACCGTGAGATTAGCAGCCCAATTTGTAACCACTACACTACCAGAGCAACCCATAGTGGTTTATATAAAACTGCTAGAAATTAAATATCAAACTTTATCCAGGGTTTGAGGCCTTTTTTTACTTATAATACTAAAGATATTTTTTCTCAAGTTTTAATATATCTTGCTTTGTTCTGTACCAAAAGCTATAATATTATTTATCTTATTTTTTTTATTTATATCGAAATTAGACGCTAAGACATAGAAGAACTACTTGAGGCTTTTTAAAAAATCAGTTAAAAATATCTACTGAATGTTATTTTGCCTATCTTTGTCCTGCTGTAGCTCTGTGGATTAATGCACTAGACTGCAAGATTGGTTTGAACCTCAAGGTCAGAGGTTCAAGCTCACCAGCCACTCCTTAGAAATCCTGTATAGGGTCACTAGGAGTCACAATCGACTCAACCGCAGTTAACAATAAAAACAGCATCACTGTTAGGATTATATTTAAAATCAAAATTTTAAAACAGTATAATACATTATACCTAAAATAAGAATATTCTTAAGAATATTTGTACTGCTAATTCCAGAACATAATTTTTTATGTTTCATATTACATTAAGTGTAGAATAACTGTTCAAACATACTTGAATTGCACTGATTTTAAGAATGATATTCTAGCTAAAGTGTACATATTATAATATATTCTTGGAGGGTACACAAGTACCATTGAATTGTTGCTCAATATTTTGTCATAGATCATTTTAATCCAAATGTTTGTTACTTACGTTGTTGTTGTTGTTAGTCAAGTCATTTCTGACTCATAAGTATCCTGGTTAGGGTTTCAAAGGAGGACCTGGTAGGTTTGAACTGCTGGCCTTGCAGTTAGCAGTCCAGTGCGTATCCTACAGCAACATAATAAGACCCTTACTACTAATAGATGTTAACATATTATTGTGACAAATAAGGTGTCACTTGTGAATTTATTATATAAAATAAAAATGTACTGTTAATGAAAGTTTTAAATGTGCTATTTGTTGTTATTGTTAAGCCGTCATTCAGTTTCATCTAAAAGTGACCATGTATAGGGTTTCCAAGGAGTAGCTGGTGGGTTTGAGCTATCAACCTTGTGGATAGCAGTCCAGTGCTAATCCTGTTGATTAAACAGTTGTGCTAAAACAGTTGAACTATTTACTAAAAAATATTTATAGTATTTTTATAATAAAAACCATGAAACTGTCTAAAGGGCAAGTAGGGTAAAGCACTTTGGTTCCTATATATACCTGCTAAAAGTCTAATCCCACTGCTAGTGCAAACGGGATAATTTGCGTCTTGTTTGGCTTAACAATTTATCAATTAGAAAGTAAAATGTACTATAAGGGATAATTCTATTTTGATTATAGTTCTAAGCCTCAAATAAGATTTAGTTAAGCTTACTGCCATTGGGTGGATTCAGACTCAATAGCTACCTTTTAGGACACAGTCCTGGTGTGGTGCTGCAGAGTAAGCACAAATCTGTTGACAACAAGGGCAGCAATTCAGACCTACAGGCTACTCTTCAGAAACCCTATACAGGGTCGCCATGAGTCAGAACCAAGTCAGCGTTACTTAACAGCAACAAAACTACTCCAGAAGTTTCCGTGACTTTAACTCTTGACAGGAGCAGACAGTCTCATCTTTCTCCTGTGGATCAACTGGTGGGTTTGAACCACCAACCTTGTGTTAGCAGCTTAGTATTTAACATACTGTACTTCCAGGGATCCTTGTTGTTAAGTGCTGTTGAGTTGGTTCCGACCCATAGCAACCCTGTATAACATTTCCAAGGAACGGCTGGTGGATTTGAACCGCCGACCTTGCAGTTCAGACCGCTATTGCAGTCCAATGCATTATCCCGTAGTGCCACATGAGGGCTCCTTAGTGATGTGGAAATGGCAGACAGACACATTAGAGGATATTCTTACTTAGTATTGGAAGTTGATAATTACAAAGAAGGAAACTACAGGCACAGAGCTGTATTTAGATTTAAGGACAGATATGTTTTTTTTAATTTCAGGTAGAAGATTAAAAACTGAAGTTTTAAACTTCACAATTACATTAAAATCTGAATCATTTTCAATAAGTTGTAAAAAGGATAAGTAGCTATATCACTTTAACATAGGTTGTAAAGTTGTGTGTGTGTAAGAAACTTTAAGGGTATTGTTGTCCCATTAAAGTGCTATTAAATCAGTTCCCACTCATAACGACTCTGTAGAGGGTTTCCAAGAGCAGTTGGTGAGTGTGAACTGCTGACCTTGTGGCTAGCAGGCCAGTACTTATTCTACAGCACGACACCAGGACTCACTAAGGGTATTAAATATATAAGAAATACAGTGAAAAGTCGTTTGAAATGTTGCACAGATCAATAAGAACAGTGTTGAATTAAGGCTGATTTCAGAAAAATGGAAAATATAACAAAAAAAATGTGTAGCTTCAATTAATATGATGAAGGAAAGACCAGAACTTCAATTTAGGATTTTAAACACTCCATTAATAAAAATGAATTCTTTTCTGGCAAGTATGAAACATAGCAAATGGGAATTAAAGTCCAGGCTGCTTAATATGAATAATGTATGCCACGTAAGAGAACAAGTAAATCAAAGCAGATTAAAAATGTTGTTGTTAGGCTCTGTCGAATGAGTTTTGACTCATAGCAACCCTGTGCACAGCAGAATGAAACACTGCCCAGTCCTGGGTCATTCTCACAATTATAGTGTTACACTTGAACCCATTGCTCCTGCCACTGTGCCAATTCATATCATTGGGGAGTCTTCCTCTATTTTGCATGATGTCCTTTTCCAGCGACTGGGCCCTCCTGATAATATGTTCAGATTGTTGTTGTTGTTAAGTGCCATCAAGTCAGTTCCGACTCATAGCGACCCTGTATAGGGTTTCCAAGGAGCGGCTGTAGAGCTTGAGCTGCCGACCCAGTGGTTGAAACCAACCTTGCAGTCCAGCGCATTAAATCCACAGCACCACATCAGGATTCCATGTCCAAATAGGTTCAATATTTGGCTGAAAGGTGCCCTCAACTCATGACAGATATTTTACAGATGAACAAACTGATGCACAAATTAGTCAGATATTTATTGCATTTTCTAAAAAATAAGCACATTGTAATTCTTATGGCGTTTAATATAAATCAACAAAAAACACTGACTTAAAAATTTAAACCTGATTATTTTTACTGAGCATTCAAGCACATTATAATGCTAAAGTTTATTGTTACTGTTTGTTGTGGAGCCCTGGTGTGGAGTGTGTGTTAATGTGCTGGACTGCAAGGTTGTTGTTGGTGTTAAGTGCTGTTGAGTCTGTTCCAACTCATAGCGATGCTATTTAGGGTTTCTAAGAAGCAAGTGCTGGTAGGTTTGAACCACTGACCTTATGGCTACCTATCCAGTGCTTATCCTGCAGTGCCACAATAGGATTCCGCATCATTACTGTTGAGCGACCTGGTATCTTAGACCTCTGTAAAAAGATAATTCATCTCTTTAAGGAAATCTTTTCTTTAAACAATGGTTAGACACAGACCTATATTTCCATCCATCATCTTATAACTATATAAAACATTTTTTTCTGTTTTTCGTTTCTTCTAAAACCATTGTTGTTAAGTATTTTTGAGTCAATTCCCACTCATAGCAACCCTGAATAGGGTTTCTGAGGAGCGGCTGGTGACTTTGAACCACTGACCTTGTGGTTCAAACCAACTTGCAGTCCAGTGCATTTTCCCACAGCACCACACCAAAAACATTAGTGTGATAATTTTTTTTTTTTTAAAGCTCTTTGTCAATCAGAAACTGCCTACCCAATGAACATAAATAATATGTAATTAAACGAAGAAGACAGAACTCGGTATTCTGCAGATGTTACTGTAAAAGCTTTCTTAATGTGTATGGAGATGCGGTGTCATGTAATGGGAACGCAGGTAACTAGTCACATGTACACATGTAGATGTGATACCTGACTTCTTCTGAGCCTAGACACATAACCCTTGACTGTTGCCCAGATAATGCAGACTTCCGATGTATTTTTGTTTGTTTGTAATTTATAAACAGTGTGCTGAAATTCTTTTCATTCAGTCACCAGGTCAATTAGCATGCATACTAATTGTGACTTGGTAATGAACCAGGAAGTTTGCTTTTGCCTATAGCCTAAAATCACTTGCTGTAGTTTTGCTCAGGAGCGCTGGTGGTCTGGTGGGTAAGCACTTGACTGCTAAATGAAAGGTTGGTAGTTCAAACTCACATCCTTCTAGAGCCTCAAATTACTGACTTTAAACAAGATCCTGAAATGTGTCTAATGCCATTGGATCTTAGTAAATGATCTCCTTGTGTGGTAATGTTTTCCAGCCTCTATTCTTAACTTGTTTAACTGATGACTGTTATGTTACTTGGAGATGTTTCAGGATCAAAATGTGTCTGTTTCTGTCTCTTAAACTTAATGAGTATTGTAGTAATGCCAACAATCAACTTATCTGCCAGGTTCCTTTGAATGGACAGTAGTTACCTGTTACTATATCAAAGGGGTAAAACTAATTATATGAATTGTTTGATTTGTTTTTTGTTTTGTTTTTAGCAGGCCTGTGCGATATTAGCGAAGGAACTGTAATCCCGGAAGATCGCTGCAAATCTCCAACTTCTGGTAATTTGATTTACTGTCATTAACAATTACATTTCTACAAATACCAATACAGCATATCAGTCTTCCATTTAAAATGCATCTACAATGAAATTGTTGGATACATCTTTAGTCATAAAATCATATAGTTTGTACTAAGTGAAAGTCCATATCTGTTAATCTGTTTTTTAAAAAAAAGTCATATAATATTTTTCTTAACTTTGTAATACTTACACTTTTTTAGGAAAAATATATTTTACTTCTTATCATTGATCAAATGTTTTAGACATATACAATGTTTTCTTTCCTCTGAGCATGTCTGGCTTAGTCTAGAAGAATAGACAGATGATAAGAAAAGTTGATGAAGTCAGGTACTTTTCTCTAGTCCTTGAATAATGCTCATTTGACTATTATGGAAGTTTTATCGCATATAGTTTAATGGTGACTAAAGATAATTATTCAGACTAGTTTTATTTTTTTTCTGATAAAAGTAATTTCTGGTATCATTGTATAGCTATACTAAAGAAATTCTTCCTTGTCCTTAAATAGCTCTTTATATGATCTATGTGTATATTAATGTTTCACAGGGTCATTATTTTTTAAAGACCCTTAAGATTACAGGGATCCTGAATTTATTATTTTATACCCACTTCTCACTTATCAACATGGTTGGATTCCAATGACTGGATCATGTAAGAATGACTACATCAGATCCCATGGTTAGATTCCAATGACCGGATCATATAAGAATGACCACATCAGATCCCATGGTTAGATTCCAATGACTGGATCATATAAGAATGACTACATCAGATCCCATGGTTAGATTCCAGTGACCAGATCATGTAAGAATGACCACATCAGATCACGTGGTTAGATTCCAATGACCGGATCATGTAAGAATGACCACATCAGATCACATGGTTTAGATTCCAATGACTGGATCATATAAGAATGACTACATCAGATCCCATGGTTAGATTCCAATGACCGGATCATGTAAGAATGACCACATCAGATCCCATGGTTAGATTCCAATGACTGG